ACCCATGTATTAGAATAATTACAGTACAATGGATGGTTAAGTTGTTAAAAAAGACAAGACGACTTAATATGACATCATGCCTACTATCACTGTGAGTGTGAGTGAGTGTTACCTCCATGTACAGCTTCAGCTTGACGTAGACTGTCCTGTTGCCTGACGTGGACTCATCCTCGAACTCCTTGATACGTTTCGAGGTCTCGTCGTAAGCCATGGCGCCCTGCACATGGAACCGACGCTCACGGTCGTACTGTGAAGGAGATACATTAAGACGGGTTAATTACATATTGGCGCTAACACACACACACACACACACACACACACACACACACACACAGATATACACACACAGATACACACACACACACACACACACACACACACACACACACACACACATACAAACACAATATTATTACAGTATGATAATTTATACTACAGGTATACATGTGTGTAAATGTGCATGTGTGTATACGTATGCGTGTGTGTGTGTGTGTGTGTGTGTGTGTGTGTGTGTGTGTGTGTGTGTTTGTGAGTGTGTGTGTGTCTGTTGTGTGTGTGTGTGTGTGTGTGTGTGTGTGTGTGTGTGTGTGTTATTATGGGTACTGTATACTCGATGAGGCGAGTGATGTAATGCTGTAACAGTATTAATTCATTTAATTATAAACAATTATTGATGATGGATGCCAGCCTTTACTTGAGCATCGATAATCAAGTCTTTGAATGAGCACCACACTACACATTGCACTTAAAATCATATAATCTAACTATTTTATTATACAGAATAAACAAAACTGAAAAAGACAAGTAAAGAATTGAACGTCATGAGTTATAGTTAGGCCTAGGTACAATAAGAAATGATTTTTTTTACAATAAGACCTATTTACCCATCTTTGGTTAGACATCAGTGATGAAAGGCTCAATATTTGCGCACTCAAGAGTGCTCTGTATTGTGATGTACTTTGTACATTGTAGTGTAGTACAAAGTTATATGCCATCTGGGCATCCATTGTCTGACTTATTCGAAGTTTGACTGCGTTGATGTTTTTTCACGTAATACTGTACACATAGATGCTATCAAATAAAGCTATGGAAATATATGAGGTGGGCTCGATCTATATTTTTTCAGTCTCCTCATTGCTTGCAGTACTAAACCTTTTCATGCGACACGTCTTGCAGTCCATTGTGTCTGTTCATAATATGTATAAATACATTGCTATAGTTGTTCCTTGGGGGGAGATAATATGATTATATCAGGAGTCACAAACTCGCGGCCCATGAGCCAGTTGAGGCAACAGGACGATCGTTTGCGGCCCCAACTTGACATCAAAGTTAAGTGTTAGTGAAGCCCAAACTCGATCAAACTGTTGAGAGAATTGTCCTACACCTACTCTGGGCTTTCCGGGATGTTTGAGAGGACTGTTTCTAGATAATTCGATGCGCTTATTTTGGTAGCGCAAGATATCCACCTCGACAGTTCAAAGTAAAGATCAAAACTTACTCAACTTACTGCTGGGCATCCTCCTCCCGCAAACCAAATGTGTCTGAACTACGTAAGAGAAGGCGCTGCATAGGCTCCGACCGCAAGGAGTGGGTAAGAGAAGCCAATGTTTAAATGAAACAGCCTTTCATATTCTGTTTCACTATTAATACAGATTGAGATGACTAGATACTTTCTCATCCTGCACCAAGGTTTAGGCTTAGTATGTACAAGCACTTTCCACCTTTCCCTATCCTAGGCTAGCTTCTAAGTATTATTCTCCGTCTTCCCACGATTCTGCACACAGATAAGCTGTACTTTAATTTTACTACTTCAAAACATTTTCCAGCGACCCTCAGATCATTAATTGAGTTTGAGACCACTGAAGCATACCTGTATATCATAGATGGAATGCTTAGCTACGTTCTTATCAATAATTGCCCTCGCGTCTGGAAACTCGCATTAAATGTAGGTTTAAGATTCCCAGTCACAAATTAATCACACCACTTTGTTAAAGTTCGATAAAGATCTATAATAATACGCGTTCTTAACACTTCTTATCTCATTACTACCTTGTCCGAGCCTTCTGCTTGGACGTTGAGGTGAAGCAAATTACTGCAATACACATAAATATCGATGTTCATAACAACAGTGTATCAGTCTTTAATTCGTCACTTTTGGGGACAAGCGGGCTAACCCAGATTTTAGAGGTCTCCAGAAATCTTGGCCTGCACCAAAAGTGGGCATTGCGCTACCTATAGGAGAAATTTGGTTTCATTGGACAGTATATTTGTTTGGTTATAAAGAAAACTCTCCTTGTCTTTTAAAGAAATTGAACAAAGGTCCAAAAACCCTACCGTCGATTTTTTTCAAAACAACTTTTTTCGGGATAGCCCCCTTGTGCTTAAAAGCGACCATTTGTAGTCGTAAAAGCACGTTCATCTGTAGGGCTTGAATTGCATAAGTTATATCTAGCATCTGCGTTTGTTGCCATTTTTTTGTCCAGAAGTTGCCAAAAGTTGCCATAAAAAGTGGCAAAAGTTGACAAAAAAGTTGCCATTAATTTTCAAGCTTTCAACTCTCTGTGACGACGTATATATAGCAATATGTTGATAGAGGTAACAATCTAAAGCACCAGAATTTTTTGTGCTCTGTTTTAAGTATCCAGAATATCATTTGTAGTCACCCGCAGGGTAAAAACGTGAAAAATACAGATTTCACAACAGAATGAAATCAAAATTAGAACAGCACGGATAAATAACCACAATTAATAACAAATAAGTGTCCACCTATCCGAAAATTGGCTGTCTTAAGTTATTTTAACCCTAAATGTGTGTAATTCAAGAAAAAGTAGATCCAGGCCTATAGGATATTACATGTAAATTATGGAATCACACACAATTGGGGCGTACCATTGTCATTATTCGGTTTTGGTGGAGACACGCTCTAACATAACACATTAACAAATTTTAAAGGGTAGGAACAGCATTAAATTAAATGACATTACGCTGTATAAACACACAAAAAAGAAAAACAAATCATACAGAACAATATTTATGAACATTAAAACACAAACAAATTACAACAGAACAGAGAGGGAAAAATAAAAGACAGACAGCAATATAAATAGTATGGTAATGTTCTTATGTTCTCCGCATGAAAATAGATACAAACAGACGTCTTAAAACTTATCAAAATACATGTCTAATATGTTATGAAATAGCTTTGTTGTTTTGTCTTTTTTGAAAAATGCATAAGTCGCGGTCGCGGACCAAAAAATGCCAAAAATCGCGTCCGCGATTCGCGTGTCGCGGCCGCGACAAACGCATATGCTAGCTATGTCCCCTTTTTTTCTTTTTGTTTTTTTTAATTCAAAGAATATTTTTGTGGGGAGAGGGGTTGTCATGAATCTCATACACTCCTGTATCCGACCCCCCCCCCCCCCCCCATTCCGCATCCCGCCACCCCGAACTCCTCCGTATTGAATATAACATTAAAACAAACAATCTTATTCATTTTTTGTGGGTTTTGTTCTTTGCAAACGCCGTGTCTAACCACAGTTGATTAATTGCAGTTGACTACTTTTCTTGACATAATATTAGACACTTGTAGATAGAAGACAATGCACGCAAAAATAATATTAAAAAATCTAAGTATCTGTTATTCCTTTACTGATCTTATCTATGCACATTTAGTTTTTTTTTTTTTTTAATCGCTAAAAGTACTTTTTTTTTGGGGGGGGGGACTAAATTCACGAAATTCGAGTGGCTGAAGGAAAAACAAATTAAAGAGAGATTAGGAGTGTGCAAGGCAGGGCAGTGTTTTTGTAAACACGAAGGTCGTCTCCGCGAGGTCAGCTCCTTGTCGCTTACGTAACGGGGTAGAAAGCGTTGCCGGTCATTAATTTGGACTGTTTGTTTAGAGGGGAAAATGACGTCACCAAACTTCTTCATTCAAACAAAACAAGAAGCCCACAATGAGTTTTTATTCCTGTAAACTGATATTTATGAAACGGAAGAATGCGTTTTTACTCCCAGACCTGCTCCATTAGTCAATTCTTGGGCTTTTTTTAGTGAAGGGGTTAAAAGTATTCAAGCTGTACAGGCTCCAGATCGTACCAATAGTAAATGTAGCTCTTTAGTCTTTAACTTTGCCATCTGTTTACGTAACAACACAATGCTGGTGGAGAGCTGCTAGGGTTTCTGTCAGTCGAACCCTACTCCGCTTCTGAGTTTGTTGTATAAATGTGTCCCCGCCCCCTCTTGTTTTTTTGTTTTTGTTTGTTTTTGTTTTGCTTTTTTCCCATTAGCTGCCTTTGGGCTGCGAAGAGGGTAGCAGTTAGCTAATAGAGCAATAAAAGGCATGGTGTAAAATTTGTAGTACTGCTTCACAAAGGACACATCTCCCGCACCATTAAAACAAGAGATCCTCTGAGTAAAAAAATAAATAAATGTAAGTGATTTTTACCGTAATAGACAGGAAGGAAGAGTGGTACAAGGGCACGCCTTTCTTATAAATAATTATTATATTATCATACAGCCGAGCTTTGGTTGTTTGCGTCAGACGTGCGCAAGTTATTTTCACACTTCAGGTTGCAGGATGCCATAGTAAGTCCTACTTTTTTTTCCATTCCCTAAATTTGTTCAGTCTCTTTGTTTTACTCTCACCTTTCACCAAACAACCATGACGAAGCCGATATACCCCTCTTTAACTAAACAAACTCCCCTCTGTATCAGCGAGACCCAGAGTACAAAATAGTTGATGCTTTCTACAGCCGTCTGGTCAGGTAAACCTAGGTCAATTCCTTTGACAAAATCGGTGAATCTGAGGACAAATTGAAACTGAATTCCTCAGTCACGCTGTCTTGAGGCTGTGTTTAAAGAACTCTGGCATGGTCAGACCCGGGTGTTTTTGGTATTGCGCATAGATATTGATTTACGCATTCAGATGTATACTGAAATCGAAGATGGATAGAATTTAGACTAAAATAAATACAGGAACAACAAACGTATGAACACGTAAATGAAAACAAAAACTCTTTATTCGCTATAAGAGCAAGCACACATATTAATCTTAATTTAACATCAAATCAGAAGTGATTTTAGTTATTTACGAATAATGATTGCAATACTAGTGAGGCATACACTTGTAATAAACTGGTTCCCTTAGGAGCTTTAAAGTAGAAAAACAATAAAAAATGAATTAATTATCTTAGAGAAGGCTGGAATCACTGATCAATGCAGTGTGCATTCTTTGGGAGGGAAGAAGAGGTCTGGGTCAGAGATGCCGGCCTGAAGATCGTAGAAACTGGTGAGAAAAGAAAACCAGAATCAGGGAATCGTTATCGGACGTAAATCGAAGAAAAAAGGAGAATGCGCATGAGTTCGTTCAATGAACGATCCTTAGCAAACCATTTAAATGTATGCATCTATTCCTTTTCATACAAACATTAATTTAAAGTTAAACTAACTGCTAACCCCTGTACAAACACATGCAAATGCACATACACACACACGCACACACACACACACACACACACACACACACACACACACACACACACACACACACACAAAAGCGTACACATATTATTCTCATCCGTATAACGTATCAAATCTGAAACAGATATCAGAGATCATAGTTCAGCATACATTTCTTTGCTTGGATGCTCTAAAAAACATTAAATTAAATTACTCTGGTCTGTTTTCCCCTCGCCCACTTACGAACCACAAACATTACAACTACGAACAGACATTGGTACTAATAATACTATGCCATCCTATGCTGCATATTCCCTTTCATCTAACGAAATAAAGCCAAATAAATACATGCACTATTTGATAGATTAACACAGAACAACTGGTAGAACGTCTTAATCAGAAAATAAAGACTTAATGAATAAACTATGGAAATGAATTCTGTAGACTCACGAGGTAAACCCAGTGTCGTTGGCGGACTTGAACCCACTGGTCACTGGGAAACAGTCTGGGTATGTTACCGAGACAAAGAATTTCGCTGTGGAGAAAGCAGAGCATGCAGTTACGGTGTTGTCCATGAGACTGTAGTCATGCATTCAAAATTGATACATATCGCTTAAAAGTACTTAACCATAAGAAAGTGCAGGTGGTTGGAGGGCGTCTGTGAAAGGCCCTCCTAACTCCCTGGACACAAACCCCATTATGTGTATGCTACACCGTCAAGAAAAAACCCATCTGTAGGCCTAGCACGAAACTTGCGCAATTTTCATAACAGATGCCACATTCGTTTTTTTTTCACACTGTGGTTTGACAAAAACGTCGAGCTCTAGCCTGATTGACACGAAAAAAATTCACACGCTCAAATAATTAATAGATCTAAATGTTTTGTTTTACCCCAAATAGTAGGACGTTTTAGTGAGTCGGGTTGGTTCACGAAACGGTGCAATATAGTAAAAGAAGTTTGCTTTTTTCTTTAAAAAAGACAAACAAAAGCAAAAAACACACTGCTTTATCAGCCCAAAAGCAGTTATTCATTTTTATGAACCTTTATCAGATATCTAGTATACATAAAAGTTTCGGGTTGGAACAAAGACTGATGGCGAATAATAAACATGTACATGTATGTACGTTATTTACGAGGATGCGCATTCTGTTTTTCGACAACACTTAAAGACGCACTCTTTTGGGGTACACTTTAAAAAGAGAAGTATAACTAAGTTTTTCAGACAAGTTTTTCTATTTTGTTTTCTTAGACTGAAACTTTGATAGACAGGCAACCGCATAATTATATAAAATGCAATTTGAACATTCTGATTTGGGTGTGATGGTTAAAAAAATGCAGCAACATTAGCTTTGGCCTGTTGCTGATCTGACATAATATGTCCCCTACATTCATAAATAGTTAATGTTTTAACTCACCATCCTCGTATGTGCCCTCGAAAGTTGCCACGGTCACAGATTCCCCAACGATGCCAGCAGCACCGATGACTCCCTCCCCAATGAACTTGGCGTCTGGGGGCACTCCGATGGGGTGGAAACGACGGGTGGGCGTGGTGATGTTGCACTTCCTGGTGCTTCGGTCCACGATGTACTCGACGTTCTGTGTGCAAGAGAGTGAGAGAAATAGAAGAAGGGAGAGGGAGAGAAACAACACTAAGTAGGTTTAAGCTCACTGTTGTGCTTTGATTAACCTACAACACGCTTTACCATACTCGATGTTGTGTGTGCGAGAGAAAGAGAGAGAGAGAGAGAGAGAAAGAGAGAGAGAGAGAGAGAGAAAGAGAGAGAGACAGAGAGAGAGGGGGGAGAAGGGAGATACAACACTTGTAGAGAGAGAGAGAGAGGGGGAGGGAGAGAGAAAGGGAAAAAGAGAAAGAGGGGGAAGAGAGTGGGAGAGAGAGAGAGAGAGAGAGAGAGAGAGAGAGAGAGAGAGAGAGAGAGAGAGAGAGAGAGAGAGAGAGAGAGAGAGGGTGGGGGTGGGGTGGGGGCGGTGTAACACTCGTAGATATAATCCCACTGGCATGCTTTTCATAATCTGCGACACACACTTTTTAGCATAATACTCTCACCAGGCATATCTGTAACCCTTGGAAGTAGTACTTGTAGTCTACTTTCTTGTTCTGCTTATTTCATAAGTGGTCGTTGGATTCTTTTTAATAAATTGCCTAAGAAAGACTATCTCAGTGACCCGTGGGTAAATCAAATTCAGCCCAGCTTATCCAAAAGTTGTCATAAGCTGTCCTTGGTGTTCCTAATTAGATCGCCAGTTTATTGGAGGTATTTATTCTTTCCTACCCAGATCGCTGCTTGTAGCTTTACCACCTTAATCACCAACAGCTATAATACTGTTTTCTATCTGACGTTTCTATAGGCATATTAGTCTTTACTTCAAACTTGACCAACTCGCTTTAAAATATTCTCTTGGCCCTCCCTCCCATGTATTCACTCATGACAATGATGTTATTTTCACTTTCTGTTTGTTTTTATCTGTCTCTTACTCCATAGCCTGAATTTAAACCTTTTATTTTAAAAATCCTGATATCATCAGATCTATTTCAAGGGGAGGAAAAAAATATAGGGAACGACCCCCCCCCCCCCCTCCACCAATTAAAAAAAAGAAAATCCATGAGAACTGAAGGTAAATACAGGCAACGAGAAAATAAAATAAAAAAAGCTTCAGAATGTAATTTCATACGATGCTATCACCAACAACATGATAATGCACCCCCCCGCCCCGCACCACATCCAAACCTTATCCATGTAACCCCCCCCCCCCCCCCAAATAAAAAAAATAAAAATAATAATAAAAAAAATAAACAGATACATAAAGTAACAACAACTAGCAATAAAACACAAAACAACAACAACAACAAAACAAACAAAAAGAAACATTGTCTCGTCGTGGTTTTCTCTGACGAATGTCATGGTCTTCGGGTCCGGTTCTGTCAACCTACCCGCTTTCTCCGGTCTCTGATCGACATTTACTCATAATAATAAGAAAGATTGATAATAATTGCATTTATGTAGGGCATATCCACACCCCACAGCATTCTCTATGTGCTTTACAACTACGAGTAGTACAATGTATTACATAAGCAAACCCAAGGACACGACTCAGAAACATTCTCGGCTTCTCAGGAAGCATACAGGGTTCTGCCTTTTGGCCTCTTCAAAACGGCATTGACATTGGGCCTATAACCCACACCCAAAATCTAGATTTGGATTGGCTTCACTCACCTGGTCGTACAGCCTGAGAATGTCAAAGGCTTGTTTCTTGCCGGCGATGTCGATGTCCTCGAACTCTCTCACCCGCCTCTGTGTCTCGTCGTAAGCCATAGCTCCTCTCACCTGGCCCCGCCTTTCCCGGTCGTACTGGGCGGTAGAGAGGGGGGACGGTAAGAAAACAAAACCACGCGCGGAGCCACAAAAGATGGCAAAACTCTTCTAAAAAACTCCTAACTTTCAACTCTCTACGGCGATTGGAGAAAATGCTGTATAAAAATACGTATTGTTTATATTATTTGTAAATTATAAAGCTTCGCATTCAGTAATGTAAATGTAACGTTAAAGTAATAAATAAATCAAAGCTTATTCTTTGATGAGATACAGACAACAATAATGTTGGTTTATAGCGTCAAGAAATGACAAAGTCAGTAGAAGACAACGTAGACTTTCAGGATCGGCTTTGTTCATTTTTTCCCCCTATGGTAGGCCCATAATATCTAAAGCCTAATTTCAAATTTGGTAAGTCATTTGGATGTTTTGGATCATAATCTTGCTGCCGGTTCAGATATTGGCCTAGGTTTAAAATGTTTCTGTAAGTGAGGTGTGTAAGAAATTAAACTACAAGGGACGTATACGGCAAGCTAAGTCTTGTTTAATTAGAGGAATCTTTGAAATAATGCTATTATTCACTTTCTCCCAATCCAGAAACGACACACCAGGCTAGGGAGAAATGAAGTAAGCTGATCTATGAAAAAATACCCGATTACAATAAAATAAAATAGTTATATTCTATAGGCTTATTTGGTTTACATTTACATTGAGACAGCCACAGAAACATGAGCACATAATACAAATCTAATAGGGGGTGCCCACATACGCGTTCAGGTCTGGTCGGGTCTGGTCGGGCCTATCGGGTCAGGGTTTCTGTGCACTCGACAGCCCCGCCGCGATTGTACCCGACGACCTGGAAGTTAAAGTAGAGAAACCTTTAACCTACATGCGACTACACATAGGGGCTAAACCTGGGCTACGATTGGCTGGACCTTTGACCGATGAATACACAAAATATGCCTACCGTACTCTTTGACTTCCCACAATCCCTCTCTCTCTCTCTGTGTATGTGTGTGTGTGTGTGTGTGTGTGTGTGTGTGTGTGTTTGCGTGTGTGTGTGTATGTGTGTGTGTGTGTGTGTGTGTGTGTGTGTGTGTGTGTGTGTGTGTGTGTGTGTGTGTGTTGGTTAGTGCTTGCTTGCTTGCTTGCTAACTTTCTTTAGCGTCTCTCTCCTTTCTTGTCTATTTCTCACTTCCCACATCAGAGACCTAGATCTAGATCTAGCAATGTAAACATTGCTAGATCTAGGTTTCTGCATATATCTCTCAACTTACCTCTCTCCCTCCCTGTCACTCTCACCACCCTCTCTCTGTAGTGTTCCTCCTCCTTTTTCGTCTCCTTCTTCCTCTAGGCCTATGAGTGCTCCAAACCCGCTGTGCGAAGTGAGAAGTCGGTCAAAGGCGTGAGACCGAAACCGGAAATTCCCAGAGTACTTACTTAATGTATTCATGGGTCAAAATAGACACGTGACTCAGCCTTGTTGTGATTGGCTGCAAACTACCCGATCGAGCGATTCGCAGGCCAGAAAACAAACGCGTTTGTTTTTGTAGGTCACCGATCGTGTCGATCGGTTTGTGCCACGATGGCCGCTTTGCGCCCTAAATTTGGCCCGACCCGACCCGTCCCGATCGCGTATGTGGGCACCCCCTATAAGGTCTATTTTTTCGTTTTAAGAGAACGGAACAGAAACCTCTCTGGTACAACAACTGTTATATACTCACCCTTTGGAATCGGCCCTCGAACTGCTTAGGTCCAGCTATAACAGAAAAAAAACAAACCGTAACTACATTAGTCCTTCTTGTATGCCATGCTAGCTGGGGGATATTTTCACTCGAGCTGGGTTTTTTTGTTTGTTTTGGGGTTAAGTGTTTTTGGGACCGAACTGACGGAGTTCATTTGAACGGTGACGTCCAATTTTACATTGACTCAGGAATACGTCCTTGTAAATGCATGATCCCCATCGACATAATTTATGATATTATACGAGGCGGGCAGCTCCAAACCTGTCTATGAAGGCCATCTTGATTCTTGAGGCTTATTTGGATATATCCGGTACTATGCACAACCTAAATCAATACTTGAAAAGGACAGACAGAGCAATAAGAATTACCAATCCCATGTCCTAGACAAGAACAAAGACCAACGGCATCATGAACACATGGTTACGCTGCACTAATGATAGACCTGCATTATTTCACCGTTTACGTTGTGTCTGTTGTCGTCTCTTTCCGACACATTATTATAGAGTCAGTATTTTTCTTCGAAGCAACGACCATTGAAAACAATAGAGAAGCTTAAATTCACCAAGAAGGTAAAAAAACCCAACTTAGTAGGCATGGTGGTTCACTTATCAGACCCAGCCGATGTCTGTGGTGTAGCGATTAGGGACCCGTGTTCGATTCCAGAGTGGGAAGAATTTGTATGGCTTATCTGCTGGGATGTGTATCCCTTTCAGCCCGGGTTGATCCTGGCAAGCATGGCAAAACCCGCCTCCCAAGGGGTCTCAATCGTGTCGATGTTGGGTTAAAAACAACTACGTTAAAGAATGCTAATTATTTCGGACTCATTACTGATAACAACAGATCGTTTGTTTTAAGATATAGCTCCACCTCTCCCCCCTTCCCCCTCTCTCTCCTCTCTCTCTCTCTCTCTCTCTCTCTCTCTCTCTCTCTCTCTCTCTCTCACACACACACACACACACACACGCACACACACACACACACACAGGGGCGAAGCGTCTATATAATCAAATAATCACTGCTTCCCTTCCTAATTTTGAAACATTGTCGCTGTCAAATTCATCCTTAAACGTAAATCTCTTAAATTAAAAGTAAAAAGAGGTTCGTAATCCGCAATGAGTATGCCTAACATTCAAAACGGTTTCACGGCCACATAAATAGCCTCCTCACCCCTCTCGGGCCACTCCATAAGCAGTCGCAAGCTTTGATTAAGTAAGCTTAAAGTGAGGCTGGAAGAGTCTACCAATGCCAATACAGTTGAGGGAACATGTGCATAGCAGTCATGGCTGTTTCATTGCCACATACACCCTGTTCACCCCTTTGGGGCCACAGTTATAATCAATCCCAAGCCCTGATTAAGTAAACTAACGAACACTGGTCGAGTCTACCTCACAAATGTGAGGGGAACTAACTCCTAACAATCTCTTTACTGCTGCATGTGCTTGTTTTTTTTCCTCGACTTTTTACTGTCCTATAATCAGATCGTGACCTCGATTATGACACCAGCTCCTGGCCGCGAAAGGCTAACAAAAACAGCCAAATGTGAAATTTAAAAAATGATAATTGTCATGTTCTACCAAAGAGTTAGACTCTCTGGTAGGTCTATAACATATAGATCTAGTACTGACATCTCTGCTTCTTTGCTTTGTGTTTATGTATTCACATCTAAAGTTAATTTAATTTTAGTTGGAACGGATATTTAATAAGATACTTTCCCGATTATTTTGGCGGTTGAACATACAATATGAATTCCGGATTTGTTTTCATTCACAACTCAGAGTCGCCGCCTCGAGTAAGATTCTTCTGTGATATCTACAGGCCATATAGATCTATATCTGGTCCCGTTTCACTTTGATTACCCTGTCAAACAAGTCAGCCTTCGCCCCTGACACACACACACACACACACACACACACACACACACACACACACACACACACACACACACACACACACACACACTCTCTCTCTCTCTCTCTCTCTCTCTCTTCATGTCACAGCTAATAAGCATAAACAGTAAAAGCACCATAATAAATAAATAAATAAACAAATAAATAAATTATTAAGATAAAGCATAAAACACTTACGGCATGTGGTGGGCACCTGGGCAAGCGCGCCCACGGCGAGAAGAAGGCACAGGGCAAGATACATTATGCTGTGACGTTAACTGATAGCTGGCACCGGCCGGGAAGATCAGAGATGACCAGTGGGCAGTCCTTATAAATATGACCTACATGGTCCTGGGTTACTCAATCATCATCGGCTGTCGTGGCAATAATATGTCCTATATAGAAGAAGACAGTTGGCGCTCGCAGTCCACGAGAGATTACGAGACAATTATGATAGTTAATATTAAATACTTTCAGACTTTTGACTTTAACCTTGGAGCGAGGTTCTAGAGATGTACCTGCACCGTTTTTAGAGAAGAGCTCAAAGAAGTAATACGTAAACAGGAAAGACGAAAAAGCTCAATAATTCATTGACAATACTCAGACTACCAGGCCCTGTCCAATTATCATTTCACCCATGTGCAAATTAAGTAATGATAATCATGGAACTGAGCAAACCATCTTTTGCAGCAACTTTATTTAAATCAGTTAGCCTTTTTTCCGTTTTGAGAGAAAATTCAAATATTGCTGGCTGGATTCGAATTTCACTTACTGTGAGGTCAATCGGTTTCTTTCCTTGTTACTACATGTATTACATTCTATTTTGTTTAGTAACCCTTTGCTTCCCGTCTTGTCTCGTCTTATCCTTGTCTTTGTACCCAACACTGCTCGTCTGTTTTTCTACAACACAGCTGGAAAGTCAACTATGTTTCATGAACACATTTAAATCTATTCTACAACAAAACAATGTATATGTCTGTCTGTCTGTCTGTCTGTCTGTCTGTCTGTTTGTCTGTCTGTCTGTCTGTCTGTCTGTCTGTCTGTCTGTCTGTCTGTCTCCGTCTCTCCCTCTCTCGCTTCATGTCTCCCTCTCTCGCCCACCATCATTTTTCCTATCTAAAACACTTCAGACTTCTTTTATTCCCACCAAACCCTAAATGTATAGTACCCCTCCCCCCC